ACTACCACAAGCACGACCACAACCACTTTGACCTCCACCACAACCACAACGACCACAACAAGTACAAGCACTACTACCACAAGCACCACAACCATCACTTCCACTTCCACCAGCACAACAACTACTACAACCACCTCTACTTCCACCACCACCAGCACTTCGACCACAACCCTTACAAGCACAACCACCACTAGCACAAGCACGAGTACCACCACAAGTACAATGACCACAACTTCCACCACTACCACATCAACGACGACTGTAACTTCTACAACAATCACAAGTACCACAACGATCACATCAACGACCACCACAACAACGAGCACAACAACTTCCACGTTTACGTCTACAACCATCACTTCCACATCCACCACTACAAGCACCACCACAACAACAACTGTGACAAGCACGACCGCAACAACTGTAACATCCACGACGACCACAAGCACCACTACATCCACTACGACGACGAGCACATCAACAACCACTACATCAACTTCAACAACGACAGAGACGACCACCAGCACGAGCACTACCACTTCAACATCAACCTCCACTACGACCACCACATCGACAAGCACTTCAACTTCTACAAGCACGACCACCTCAACCAGTACCAGCACCACCACCACAACCATTACTTCGACCACAACCACCATTACAACAACTACCACCACTACCTCTACACAGACTAGCACCACAACCACTACCTCAACTTCCACCACTACAACTAGCACCTCCACCACGACAGCACTTTGGCTGAAATTTGATTGTGCTGTTTGTTGCTTTTTTTTTTTGCATTTTGAAACGGAATTTCTGAGGTCACCTTGGCGGATTGCACTGTACCTGAAGTCCCGGAAGGCTTCCATGTCACTGAGACATCCTTGCACATTGATGGATTTCAGGCCGGATGAAATGCACCGATGCACTTCGACTCATGTGAGGGTGCACACCAGACCTCAGGTACGGGATTAGCTCTTCACGAAAGCTAGCTTCAGCTTTAGCAAGTATTGGGGGGATGCAATCTCCCACCTAGTGAATTATCTGCTAGACAACCCCCTCCGCGGGTTCAACTCCTCCGGATGTGAGATTTGGGAGCGTTCTGATAGCATTCGCTTGGGACCATCACATCATGCCGCGCATCCCCTATTTGCAGCTAGCTCTCGTCCGCCGCAAGTCTTCGCTCTTCTGAACCTTAACGGTCACGAGCCTAACTAAGGTCTAAGGACATCGTTCGCTATGAAACGACCCAAACGAACCCAAAAGGCTGAGCAAAGTGTTGCTGTCGACTGCCAGGTGGCTGTGGAGTGTGCAGAGGGCTATGTAGGTGATCCAAAATCTGAGCCCTGTGAGCACCCGGGGCAAGCCTATAGAATCAGCGGCTGCACTTGGAGCGCCTTCTATTGCAATTGCTGTGATTCTTCGCTTTGGGTTTTCTCGGGCGTTCAAAGCTTCACAAGGTTACCACATAGCTCAGGAAGTTCAAGCAAGCGTTGCGTTGTAAAGTTGTTAGGGTCTTCCTTGCTGTGGTGGCTGTTTTGCGACCTCGTTCCCTCTTGTTCGGAACCTGAAACAAGCGAGGACAATTGAAAAGTTGATAGCGAACGTATCACAAACCAGGAACCACATGGAACCATCCGACCAGCTTGGCGTTTTTACGTCGCTTGGCGACCACAAGTTGTGCCAGTCTTTCAGGCAATTTGTGCGTCGCTCCAAAAGACCTGGATGGCTACATTATCCAAGAAGTGTCCCTACAAGCCGACAATTTCAAGGCGTGCTTTCAGAAGGAAGCAGACCTGTCTTCGCAGGACAAGAATAGACTATATACAGATTTGAGAGTATATATTTTTTAAACCTACAGCTTGTATCATGTCCGAAATGGCCTTCGACCAACTAGCCAGGTCATTGCCAGCTGCAGCGCAAAAGATGGCTACCACGGAGAGGCTGTTGTCACTGGCTGTGACAAGCGAAACAACCGTTTCTTGGCAGAGTCTCAAAGTACTGTACATTTGATATTACACAATAACAGGATATTTGGATGGAGGCCATCGCAATTAGGTTGGAGGACATGAGGTGAAGAAGTTAATTGCTGATTGTTTAGGTCGAAGCATTTGTTGGATAGCAATTCTGTCAGGCTGTCGCTCTAAAGTAAAGGGTAAAGGGTGGATTTGCAAAATAATACCTCTAGGGTAAGAACTCATGGTTGCCATGAACAGCGCGTGAGCTGTTGAGGCTACAGTGTAAGCGGTTGCCGCGGATTCGTTTGCTCTGCACCAGCTGATGTGGTTGGCTACGTGCTGACAGAGACCGATCTCAAGGGAGACACATTTGATGTGTTCTTTTGCTGCAACTATTTTGTTTCTAATAGCTTCTTGTTACTACTAGTAAGGCACTTGTTACTACTAGGGATGCACTTGTTACTAGTAGCTTCTTGTTACTCTTCGAACGAACTCGACTCAATAACCTAAATGCTTTGAGTTCGCAGAGTTGTTAAGTTCAAATGTTAAGTTTTTACTTTTGTAACCGAGGCAAGCTACATGTGCGGATGGTTTCAACGGAGTTGCAAAGGTAGAGAAGTGCGTCAGCCATTTGGAAGGCTACAGACTAAGTGGATGCTATGCCGTTGATGTTTGTTTCGCTCCCAGCTCAACCTTGGGCTACATTGTCTCAGAAACTTCAATGGTCATCGGATCGTTCAAGGTTGATGTGGCTTGTGCAGACACCCACACAGGCAGTCCCAAGGCAACCAAGTGCAGTAGCCCTCTAAGCTCATACACTCTCAGTGGCTGTGAGGAAAAGATCAGATGTGAATCGCCTGAATCTACTGAAGGCTACGTGGTCACGGAGACAGAGACTACTGCGCAACTGTTCAATGTGCCTGCCACTTGTGCTCGCGGATATGAGGG